AGGCGCTGACGCTTAACAATAGGCAATCAACCTTGTATCAAAGCGCTTCTGTAAGCAAATACACTTTTTCTTTTGACGTAAGGATTTCATTGTTATTTGGCGAGCTTTTAATTTTTCGAACACATCGATCACCGGTCACCAAATGAGAAATGAATTTTACCATATTAAAATATTGTATTATTCTTGCCGCGGTTCGTTTCTGACTACGGCTTAAAACCTGTATATATCTTACTATGCAGGGTAGTAATCTGTCCATGCCGGCATAATTGATTTGTTGAACAGTGAAGCTTGGAAATGTGTCGATTTTGCCGCATTGCTACCAAGACCCCTCAGCCTATTCCTAAATAACTTGGTGTTAACTCATGCCTGCCACAGACAGTACAGAGAATTAGGATTGAGTATAGACCGAGCTATTGCGGGTTTAAACCAAACCGCGAATCATTTTAGATCCATACCGATATAAATGGATTATCACTCTGGATAGTAACCATATAATTATACAGTATGCGTTTCCAAGCGTTCGCTCGCATGCTTTATTCTTCCCATTCCGTTTTTCGTTTAGGTAAGCGGACCAAGAAAAAAATTTGCGATTCTCGAAATCGAATGTTTCTTCTGGTCAAAATGATATGACGTTGTTTTCGCTGCACTTTGAGGATCTGCTTCGACCACTAATTACTGAAGAATTAACTGAGGAACAGCGAGCCATCGGTCTGTGATACATATGACCCTATTCTCATGGTCTGACAGAATTTTCGCTCCCATCAGGAGGCCCAAATTTTAGACACAGTCAATTTCTTTATTTAAGTGCTCCAAATATTGAAAGACTTGCGTTCATGACGCACTTATAACGGATTTATAGGTCCAATCGAATGATGTATGAGGGATTTATATGTTCCACTCGCTCATCCACTCATATTTAACTCGATTCCGTTGTATCGCATTCTCAGATCACATAATGCAGAGGAAGCCATATTCAGTCACATGAGTTTAGATGGATTTACAATAGATATACAATTCAGTAACGTTCTTTCGGTCCGAAAATCTTTCAGCCACTGACCAATAAAGGGCTAATGCCCATAGTTTGGGTTTCCCCATAGGAACGGCATTTTTATCAAACCACGAAGCTGGAGTCTTGTGCCTCACGGACCGACACTCACAGTTCGTCACTCTTTTTCACTTAATTCTACAGTAATTCGTGATACCAGCAGATTCTGATGAACGAAAGTAGTGGTAGAATTCTCACTAATTTCCTGTTCTGGTTTTTAGGCACACATATGTCATTGCTGCAATCAGTTTGTGTGTGCTGGAGTTTCTGCTGACTGTCAAAACCAACTTAAACACTAGTACGCTAATTTGCATCTTTTCAGCTTTCTCGCGCCATTATCTTCAGTTTCTTCGCATTCGTTCATTTCTTGCACTTTTTCTTCTTCACTCCTCACCTCTTGCAGTTCTGCGACTTTTCTTCCTCTTTCATTTCTTCTTCCTCTCGTCTTTCTTCATCTATTTTCTTCTACATCAACACCTTCCTTTCCTTCTTTTTCCAGTGTCTTTTATATTCACCGACTGCGTCTTCAACTTATTTTTCTTGTTGTTCTTTCTGTTCTTATTCCTCACTCCGTATTTCTTATCTTTTTCCTCACGTCATCCGCCTTATGCTTCTCTCATTTTCTGTTCTTCCTATTGTTCCTCTTCCTCGTGATAGTAAGTGATTTCAAGCAGCTTTTAAACTGAGTTTCGAAGAAGGGTGACGAGCAGAGTGGGACGCCACAACTGTCCATAACAAAAACTTAATCTCCAATCTGACCACAGAACCCCCTGGCATGGATTTAAATCGCCTAGAATGGTCGAGATCAAACAGGATTCGAACAGGACAAGGATTCTGTGGACATCTGCTCCATCGTTAGAAGCTGAAGTCCATCCCGCAGTGTGACCGCGGTCATGAAGATCAGACCATGCAGCACATTATTTTGGAATACCCGCTGCGAAAGTTCGAAGGCAGCATAACTGATGTGCAGGATGCTACCGCGGCAGCCATTCACTGGCTTAGAAATCTTGACATTGACCAATGAAGTTGCTAATCATTTACTCCAGCCATACGACAGAAGAAGAAGAATTCTTAAACATTCGTATAAATCGGAGTTTATGCGTAATATCGAAGGCAGTCAAATGTTCAGCAATTCTGGTCGTCTTTTCTTCCGTCACATGAAAGCGCTGCACTTACGGCGACAAGGTATAAGCATAATCGAATCCAGTACTTTCGAGCAGGCCTGTGATTTACTGATCGAAGCGCAGCAGTGGCCCGGGACAAGTGCTGTTTCCTTGTACTTTAAGCAGCGACTGCTGAAAAGTTGACTACCTCTATTGGAAACGGTTAAAATTAAGCAACTTCTACGAAAGTCTGTACGTCGATGGGCACACGATAGAAAATGGTCCAAAGGTAGCACTAAAGGTAGCACCCTGAGGCCAAGCCACATTTACCTCTGAGCGTCCAAACGGGTAATAATCAGACTTTAAATAATGCTCTTGATCGCTGCCTCTTCCTCCTGCACTTGCTCTGCAGATGTGGTCGATGGTTTCTTGAATTTTTCCTTCTTCAGTGGTGAGGGTTGACCATCGCTGTCCTAAGGAACATGCTGACGGGAATTTACCTCTTCGGTCCTTATGTGCACGTGTACTGATGAAAGTGATGCAGCGGAAATTGCTAGAATTGACTTCTATGCGGGGTTGATAATTAAAATTTACTGAATACATTTTCATTTAACTGGGACATTTACAGAAATAGCAAACGCACGGTGGTGCGCTTACTTGATGGAGGTCAAGATTAAATCTGAGGTACAGGGTAAACGTTATATGATTGAAGAAGAACACAAATCTTACTGGTGGCAGTGTATTCATTTAAGAACAACCGGATAGCGAGTCAATTTCAACCAAATATCTGAGCCGCATGGTTGTTTAATGTTCATGGTCACGCTGAAGCTAGTAAGACTAATGGCTACGTTCATCGTCATCGAAAGTCAATCAGCATCAGGTGGCAGTACGTCGCGCATGGTGCACGTGGAACATGATCTTCAAGTAGACATGAGGCGAAACCCAAAAACAAAAAAATGTTAAATAAATTAATAAGAAATGAATTATACCTGTTATAAGTTTGCGAATCCGTTTGAACGATATTTGTCGTGAAACTGTGGAATCATTTTTCCTGTGTACAGTACAGTAGATTGGACACATTGTGACTGTTCATTGACATTAAAACAAACGGTGTTTCATCCGACCTTGTTTTCTGAGTACCTTTTCATTCAACAAATTTGCCTTAGCACCAGAATGAAAACTACTGAGAGGATTTTGGCAGCTCTTGCAAATGCTACCAGAGAAGCTGGCGAGACCGGTAATAGTTGTTCGACGAAACGGCTAAAGAACCTGAAGACATTCACGAGTGACCAGAATCAATTCAATTGCCTCGATGAACTCTGCCTCAGATTCGGGTTGTGTTCTGCCAAAGTTCAAACGCTGACGTAGGACAGAAAGCGTTAAGGACTCTGTCTTACGCTTGTCTCCCTGTGATCCGATAAAATAAGCGGCCATCGAAACTGACTGGCCATGAGGAAGTACATCAACCCTTGTAGTAAGATTTATAAATTGCGCGCATCAGCGTTTATGACAATTAACGAGGGTTCCTTAGGCTACTAAAAAAATGCACTTAGTCTGGTGCCTGCCAGTTTCAGTCTGCTTCATGCTTTGTGATCATGATTCAATCTATTTTCATCTTATATCTTGTTAAACATAATAAGGTTAAACACCAGCACAAGCCCATCATCAATCAAGCCATATGACATTTTCTGTCCGTGTTTTATGGTATATTGATCGACCACTTTAACCGTCTATATACGTTTTGGTGCCTTGGCACGTACATATGTTAGTAGAACCTCTGAGTAAGTATCAGTCAATGAATGAACCCCAAAAGAACAGACTTATTCGCATTCCTGGTTTTTGGGTTATACAGAGAAGGTAGTTGATGAATGGGTGGCGACAACTCAAACTAACATCCAGCAAATATTACACTGGTGTGTGAGGCACGGAGGTTACACGAGGTGCCGGTAGGTGTTGCTGCATGTGAGGGATATGGAATTCTTATATGGATAAATAGCGGTAATGTACGTCTGTCGGGAGAGAGCCACTCCCGGCTACTGGAAGAGGTTAGGAAACCGTATGCCACGAACGGACGATGCATTGACTAATTACGCGGGTACCTACGTGCGGGGCTACCAACAGATAGAGGCTTATTGGTCTATCCACAGCGCTTCGGTTGGCCACAGTCACAGTTACTTAGTATTAATACCTAATCGTACAATAGAAATGCATGAAACTCCAACATTGTGACGTCTGTGTGCTTTAGAGTCCAAGCACGTTAATTTTAGGAGGTATTCATTGTATCGGAGGGGAAATGTTCCTCCTCCGCAGCATACCTCCATTAATGCTCCGCCAAATGATACATTGGACTAAAAAACTTCCGGTTTCGTTGTTGCTCAGCTTGAGATAGCATTATCAGCATTCAGAACTGTGCCAAGCCCTGCCATTTCTATGTATCGGTACATATGCTGAACAAGTAAATTTTCCACAACTGCGCCAATTTAATTTTAAAAACAATAAATTCGAATCAACAGATCGACAGTAAAATGTGACTCGATTTAGAGTAAGAAAATTACGTCATAAGAAGACATACAGTGCAGCATTTTACATCGTCATAACGCGAATATCACAGACGGAACGACAGTCTCGCTTTGCCGGACGAAACGGGGTGCAAGTCGGCCATTTTATTTTAATGAAACTAAATTTGTAAGTGAAACACGATCTTTTCTATGTTACAGTCGGTCGTGTACAAAACTTACGTTTGTGCTTTAAAATATTCTAAACGCATTCGCCATTTTTCTTTATGCAAATAATCATAAGTATAGAGATGAGAAAGTTACTGGTATGTACAAAAGATGAAAGAAATACTGTCATCAGTAGCGGTAGTAATTTGGCTTGAACGGACCGGTTTTGCCGATACCCATGTAGTCAGCTTGTTCAGCGGTTAGTTCTGTCAGGTGGGCGTCGAAGCAGGGCAGATGCAATGCTGCGATGTATTCATCTGAAATCGAAACGCACTTCAACGTTAGGATCTTTAAGGATCGTAAAACAGCGTTGAAAATCAATACCCATCTTCCTTGGCATCAAGTAAACGTCCTGTTTATAGCGACCTCGAGGGGCAGTGTAAAGTTCAATAACAGCCATCGTCTGAAAAAATTGTCGTATTATTAAAGACATGTCGAATTTGATATGTGTAGTGTGGATTGGGATGACAACGTGAAATCATGTTCATAATATAGTCTCCTCCTTTTTCAAGCAGAAATGCTTCCTCTTCAAGAGTAAAATAAAAAAGCATATTGGATTCAAAACATAAGGTATTTTCTGTATAATAAATAAACTTATCACAGCGTGTCATCATATCACAAATACGTGAGTTTCACTGCCTTACATTAGCCAATAAAGGATTTTTGTGGGGCGCGTAAATTCTTAACATCAAATGCTGCAAGTGAAAATTTCGGATGCTGAACGAAGCCATGTCTAAATCGGTTTCTGTCCATTTCCGTTAAGTTCGAAGGGCTGAAAATTTTTCTATTTTCCTACGTGCCGTTGAGCTTTAAATGAAAAGTATTTTATATGCTCCCAATGCTGATCTGGGCGGGAAAACGTGGACCCACTGAAAAATGTAAGTTGAAAATAATCGGATAGGAAAAGGAATGAATGGACAAGAGCAAAAATAGAAAGTAAGTCAAAAATACCACTGCCTTAGTGAAGAAGCAAAATGGCAATGGACATAATACGTTGCGACAAGAACAGGCTATCAGCTGCTGAATCAGAGAGACAGAAGAATGGACAAGAGAGAGCAAACGGCCCGTAGGAACACCTCCATCTTGATGGCAAAAAGAGCCAAAGAAGTTCGCCTCATGAGGGGGATGAAAACGGCAGAAAGCAGAAGTCTGTAGAAAAGCCTTGGAGAGGTCTTCATCCGGCATCGAAACGATGAAGCGTGATGACGGTTTACGGCTTCATGATAGGCTATTAAAACACTTTTATTGATCTTATTTCCCTGCTGCAATTCGGTCACTTATCATGTGTTCGCAGGCAACTGTTAAAACCATGGCCCTTAATTCTTCCGTTCAGGTCTATGGGCAGAATATCTTTCTCTTATAAAAACAATAAAATAGCCAATCAAAGGAGATGGCCACAGTTGCACTCACCCCGTAGCCTGATCACTGCCAATTATCCTGTTTGATTAAATTCTGTCCTATTCATTCACTTGAATAATCAAAACGCATAAAAATATGAAATAACAAGTGATATGTGGCCTATGAGATGAAACTTCCTTAAAGAGTATGTTAAATTCAAAGCCTTAAAAATTATACCCCTCTGCCATACGTAGAATCCGTATATTTAGATATGTTTTGCGATTCCTTACTTATCCTGTTAAGTCTACGGTCATAAATGTTGGTTCGTACACTGGAGAATATTGTAAACGCAAAATTGTTCCGAAACTTGAATTCGCACAGACCCTTGTTTTCAATGAGTAGAACATTATTTCAAGACTTTGCTGCTGACACTCTGGTTACCTCTGCCGAAACTCAAACGGGGTGCAGAATTGGAAATGATGGAGTCACTGTCACCACTGCTTCCCTTGCGAATCAAAAGAAAACGCGGCGATCGAAAATCAGTGATTGGGAGCATAACCGTAACTTAAACAAGTCTAAATTTCAAGGTTCTTGAATTTGCATTAATAAATGAATGGATGAGTTAAAGAGTAAGGTGAAACAGTGATTGAGCTGATGAATAAATTCCAGAATGCACGAAGGAACGACGGCCCAGTCTGTGTATGAATCAACGAGTAGATGAATGATTGATTGAATAAAGGAAAGAACAAATGAACCATCGATCTAGTGAAAAGAAAAACCAGCGAATGAAAGAATGATCAAACAGACGAATCAGCGAAAGAAACTAAATGGCGAACTAATGATGAGCAAACGAACAAAGGAATGAAATAACGATCAAATTAAAAATTGACTGACTGCAACAATGAATGAGTGGCTGAATGGATGCATGACTGAGTGGGCAAATGAATAAATAAGGGAGCGAACGAATGAATGAAGGAATGACTGCGAAAATGAACGGACGAATGAATGAATAATTTGGAGGATGAATGAATGAGTGAACAAAGGAATGAACGAACGGATGAATCAAAGAGCGAATAAATGAATGAAATTAATTATGAAAAGAAAAAATAAGATGTCTAGTCAAAACTTATATGAGGAAAGTTGAATCGCTGCTCAATACGGCATTAGAATCATAACAGGAGCCATGAGGAAAGCTTAAATGCAGTGTTTACAGATTTTAGTGCGTAGTGAACTCCCTCAGAGCGGTATTCCGCGTTTAGTCGATCACTGTTACAAATCGCCAGCTCCCCATCCACTGTGCCCTCAAACAACCACCGACACGACACTTTAAATCACCCCACCTACCACAGAAGTCTGTGACGATTTTATGCCACAACTGGGTCTTGAGGAACAGTGGCGAGCACAGTGGGGTGCTACAGCCTTCCAAAGATGACATGTTATTTTCAACCCGATCACAGAAAACTCTGGCATGAATCAAAGTCGTCAACAATCGTCGAGAACAAACCGGATTTGGAGAGAATACGACTGTTGTGAACATCTATTCCGCCGTGGAGGATAAGCTTAACTGCGGCCATAGAAATCAAACCATGCAGCATATGATTTCTGAATCGCCGCTGTGGAAGTTCGGCTGTAGGATGACTGATCTCCAGAATGCTAGAGTGGCGGTCACTCAGAGGATTAGAAATCAGGACACTCAAATATAAACTTGCCAATCACTGTCCCCCTTAAATTCAAACAAAACGTCATTCTGGAATAAAGAACGAAGAATGCGTCGTGTTATTAGAAGCCTTAGTGCCTTTATAAGCAGGGGGCTAAATCACAGGATCGGAATGAAAAAGTTCAAAACACGGTAACCGTATAAATTTTGTTAGTCGGTTCACATGAATATCGCGAGGAAGCCTTACCTGGGTCGTAGCAGTGATCGAAAGAACGAACGACGAAGCTCCAGAGCAGCACCGACTCGCCATTCTACCCTAAGGCAGTTGAAAACGTTCTACCATTGAACCGTTGAAAACCTGTTTTTTTAAATATACCTCTGCAATGAGGACGATGCGCTTTCCGTCTGGCCAGATTATGTGGTCAACGTAATCCCTGATCTTCTCCCAGGTCAGTTCCGGTGAGCGCAGGGCGGCGACGTCGATTTCCATGTTGGAATTTCCCATGTTGCAAAGAATGCAGCCGTTCTTCATCTTTTCCATGTGTTTCTTGGTAACGACGCCTTGATTTCCGGTGCAGGTGATGACTAACTCGGCACAGGCCACTGCCTCATCCAGTCGAACGACCTTGAAACCCTCCATGCAAGCTTGCAGCGCGCAGATCGGGTCGATCTCGGCAACTAGAACGTTGCTTCCGACTCCTTTCAGCGCCGATGCAACTCCTTTGCCAACCTAAAACTATAAAAACGTGAAGACCTCCCAATAATAAGTCAAAGCGACGATCAGCGACGGATATCCCTTTGGAGATTCACCCTCTTAGGGAACTGAGTCGTGGGTGTGTGCCCACAACAATATACTGGCTGTTGTTTCTGAAATAATATATTTCTGATGGTGCTCGAACAGGGAGTAACCCAGATTTATGTCTGGTTTTCAAAAACGGTGTCTCAGTGAATATGGTTGTCAGCTGGCAATGCAACAG